TAACAAGTAAAGCACTAAATTAAATTACTTCAGCTCTGTTTGAAAAAGAAAATTATGCATGCTTGCACTCGGTTTCTCGCCTCGAAACACCTTCCGGTTTGCTCTTTTAGAGTCTCTGTTTGCAGGGTGTCCTCAAGAACTTGCTGCTGAAACTTACCAAAACACTGCTGGGGAGTGCACCAGTGGCCTGCCGGCCATGAATGGTTGCTGTCGGCCATCTGCTGGCCAACTGTGGGCCTCTGCCGACCAAGGATGTGAGGGTGCCGGCCAACAATGTGGCACTGCCGGCCACTGGTGTGCTGTGACACCATTCTGCAACAGAACACAAACTAGAGAAAATGGAGGGTCTCCCTAGGAGGATGTATGTACTGTGCCACTCCATATCACCTCAAAACATAAGGGGAGAGGCACCATTGGATCCAAAACCATCAATCAAGCATCTCAATGCATGATGGCCAAGGGTCCAATTCGTACAAATTCGATAAATGCAATGCAAACAAGACTCTAAATCCGCTACCTCATCATGGATGATCAAAGGCAACGGAGACAAAGGGGATTGGCTCACTTTCATCACTTCAAGTATGAAGTGGACCAATCCACCTTGTGTTCAACATAATGCCCGGTTGAACACAATGCAATGCACACATGCAACATGCTTATCTTGACATGTTTTACTTGATTGATTTTTGTTTACACATTTTACATTACCGAGCCATTCATTAACCGGTTAAGTCCAATGTGAAAAGTCCTCTAAGGAAAGATGGCCTCAGCCACAAGCACCTTGAGCATGAAAGAAGCCTCATGCTTTTGGTTAGTAGAAACCCTCAAGAGAAGGCTAAAACCATTAGGCATGAGAGCCTCAATTCTATGCTCAAGCCAACAAGGGGCTAAAGACCTCTTTCAAAGCAAACGAAAGAGTGAAGCATGGAGTAATATGGCATGTATTTCAGAACTGAAATGACATGCTAAATGACACTAAACCATGCAAGCAACGCATGCACAACATGTTTAGGGTCAAAGGCATTGAAAGTAGTGATAAGAACTACACTAGAGGCATGCCATACAAGGCTCAAACAACCAAACCAGCCATGAATAGAGCTTAATCATGCCAAAACAATGGCCTAAGCATGCTTGAAATGAAGCTCAAAAGACTAGACAAACATGCACACAAATTGGCTCACAAGCAAGGCATAAGGCATGACTCTTAAACACAATTAAAGAGTGATATACATGAGAGTATGACCAGGCCATATGCTCTAAAATTACATGTTAAATGACGCCATATCATGCAAACATCACAAGCAAAGCATACTAGAGGTCCTAAAACTCAAACCTAGTTAAGGAACTTGCACTATAGCTATGCAATACAATCCTCAACGGCCTCAGACCTTTCAAAACAGTCCTAAAGCATGTCCAAACAAGGCCAAAAACATGCTTGAACATAGCCAACATATGCTAGAATAAAAGGCCAAAACACCAAGTAAGCTAGGTCAATGAGCATGGTTACACTACAAGTGTAAGAAGCAAATGAGGGATGTTCTAACCAACCAAAAATAGAGTTAAAGCATGTTAAATAATGTCCAAAAACATGCTAGAGTGGAGCCAAAACATGTTAGAATTATAGGCTAAGACATGAAGCATGTTAGGCTAGCAAGTAGGATTACACTACAAGTGTATGAAGCATTCAAGAGGCGACCAAATCAGCCAAAAACAGAGTTATAGCAGGTCCTAAAAGTCATAAGAACATGCTCAAACTAAACCTCAAGAAGGGAGAAATACATACTCATTTGATAGGACAACAACACATGCTAATAAGACAAGAGGAGGGGGGACCACCTCCTCCCATTTTGGGCCTCAAAACTATCTTTCCACCACTAAAATTCCTCTAGAATTTAGTGGTAAAAAGGGCCAAAAGTTTGGTTTGAAAGCCTTGAAAGATGGCACAAAAGGCTATACAAGCTAAGTAACAAAAGGGAGAGACAACCCCCTAACACAAAATAGGCCTAAACCATCATTTTTAGGACTGAAAAAGAAAGTTTTCTTCAGTTCAAAACCAAGCCAAAAATAGTTTGTAAAGATGGTAAAACAAGCATGCAAAACAAAGCTTTAAAGGGACAAGTGCTTACCCTTGAATCACAGCCGCAAAACAGGTGCAAATCTGAGCTAAAACCACCTTTTGGAGCTCAAACAAAGTCCTAAGGAATCTCAACCCAATAGTGGTCAAGTTTGATCAAGGATGTGTATGCAAAAGTATAGTGTATCTAAGCTTTCATGCATAAAAGGAAAAGAGAGAGTGAACTCTAGACAGAAAGGCAGAGATTAATCTCTGAAAATTGTAGGGAGAGAGAGGGATTTTAGTGTGAGAAGCTCTCAAAATTTTGTACCCTCCCATATGTGAGATATAAGCTCCATACATAGCAAAACAAAAGCTCAAGGTCGAAATATCTGAATATGGGACAACTGGAGGTTGTGTGGAACAACTGAAGGGAAAAGATCTACAAAAAAAAACTGATTTTTGACATTGTTGGCCTGCCGGCCATCACTGGTGGCCGGCAGGGGATCATTGATGGCCGGCATGCATCATCCATGGCCGGTAGAAAATTCTGCTTTCCAGGTCTAACTTCAAATGGACATAACTCCCTCATCTGGACTCCTTTGCAGGTCATTCTTGTGTCCAAATTGAAGCTCCAGAAGTAAGTTTCCCAATGGTGGGATCCTCATATCAAAATTCCAACTGTGCAAAAAGTTATGCCTGTTTTGGTGATGCTGTTGAGTTTCGATCCTTCCCAGATTCATGCCGAGCTTCTCCCAAACTAGTTTGCTTCTCTCCTCTCCTCTTTTCTTCAACTCCAAACCCCTAA